GGGGAGCAGAAGCAGAGGATGAGCAGAAGCAGATGAAATCTCTAAAGCGGCTCGCAGAAAACTGGCTCTCATAATAATAGGAAAGAGGGAAAAAACAATGAAGGTGACAACACAGAGAAAAAGAGGAAGAGGGGGCGACGCGTGGGTGCTGGGAAATATAGGACATTGCAGCACAGACATGAGCTCACTGAGCCAGAGGAAAGTCTGAGGAAGGCCAAGGTCTTGCCCTGCCTTACCAAGGGAGGAATGGATGAGGCAGGGCCTACCAGCTCCCTGAAGGAGCCCCTAAACCAGAGATGCCTGTCCCCTGAAGCGGCCGTGGCTGTGGCAGGTGGGCCTCATCGAACCTGGCCCCCTGCAGCTCAGTCTCCCTGGCTACTGCCCAACCCCTCACTCTCTCCTGCCCTCCCCTCCCATTATCTCCCTCTGTCCAGAAGCTATTGATTCTCCTCGCTCCATATCTATTGATCTCTCTCTCCCAGTTTCTTTCCCTTTCTACCATCAATAGATCCACCAGATCTATCTCTTTCCTTTATACAGATCGCTTTTACAGACAGATTTCCCCACCTGTATTAATACATGACACCCACAGCAAATAATCTCAGCTCCCCGGACAAGAATAAAAATAAAAACATGCAGCCCCTCCCACACGTTTATCATCACACTGCCTCACAGGGAACAATGTTTTCACAAAGTATATACTCTCATTTGGTTCAAGACTCACAAGTGCACTTAGGGGGGCAGGCCGGCCTGTGACCAGTACACTATTTTATACAGTGGTGAACTCAGGCCCAGAGAGGTGAAGTGACTTTTCTAAGGTGACCCAGCAGGTAGGACTCACCTACTCTGCCAGGCAGCCTTCCCAAAAGGATCTTTACCTGCTTTGGGATTCAAGAGGTTGGTTTTTGGTTTGTTCATTTCTTTATTAATTAATTACTAACTCATTATATTTGCTCCAGCCCTGGCTCCAGGGTGCTTAATAAAAGCTTGTTGAGTAAATAAATAAATAAATAAGTGCTCAAGCTGACATTAAAATGAGTGTTTGGCCTCAGAGCAGACATTGCTTGGGCAGGGGCAGGAGAGAGGCTGGAGCAAGGCCAGGCTGGCATGGAAGTTGCTCTGCAGGCAACTCGCTCCCAGCACCTCCTGTGTGATTCCCAGCTTTCTGCCTGAAGCAGCTCTCCTGGTGTCCATCTGTCTGTCTGAAACTCTTTTACATAGAGATCTCTTGGTTTCCTCTGATCTCTCAGGCTTCTTATTGAGTTTCTTGAGCCACTCCTTAGGAAGAAACAAAGAATTGCAGGGTTTGGAAGGCAATGGAGACAGCTCAGGAGAGGAAGAGAGCCTGACCCACACACTCAGGAGAAGAGCCTGGAGCAGAGAAGGGATGCTGAGTCCAGGAGTCTATTTTGGGGGACAGAGGGGTGGTGGGTCCAAAGATGGGACAGTCATGATGCTGGACAAGCTGGGCGGCCCCACTCACCTTTGAGTCCCTGGCCCATGCCAAGCGCTAACCCGTCCTTGGTCCATTGCACGATCCCCGAGTAGTTGAGCAGCACACAGGGGAGCACGGCCCGCTGTCCGGCCACCACAGTCTGGTCAGCTGGCTCCTGGCTGAAGCGAGTCTGGGTCCCTGGCAAAGCCAAAGCAGGCACTGGGTAAGGAGATGCATAAGGAGAGGGGCTCTACCAAGAGGCCACCATTCCCAGGCTCCTGCTCCCACCTTGCATCGGGCTGGAGAGAGATGAAGCCTGGGCAGGTGGACTCTCCAGTCTCTGCCTCTCTTCAGACCCAACACCTTCCTTGCAAGATGCTCACCCTTGATTCCTTCCTCCTTCCATGACCCACGGGAATGGTTTCAGGAGCCAAGTGCTCAGCAATCATAGAAAGTAGTACAATATTATGTAAAGGCCTTAGAGACTGGGCTAGTCAAACCTTCTCCCTTTACAGTTGAGGACACCGAGGTCCAGGGAGATGAGTAACGTACAAAAGGCCAACAGTGAAGCAAAGGCAGAGCTGGAGATTTGCACCTGAGCCTCAGTTCCAGGTCCTGGGCTCTCCCTCTACTTCTGCCCCTCACCTTAGCACCCATGTCAGTTTGCTTCAGCATTGGCTCCAGGGTGCTTAATAAAGGCTTGTTGAATTCATAAGTAAGTACTTAGGCTGATATTAAAATGTTTTTGGCCTCTGAGCAGACATTGCCTGGGCAGAGGGCAGGAGAGAGGCTGGAGCAAAGTAGGTGTAAAGCACATTCCTCTCTTCCAGGAAGCCCATACAAATGCTGCTGGTGACTAAGTCCCCTTCCTCCCTGAGACATGAGTATACCCTTGGACCCCTACTTGGACATGCTCTGTATGAGGCAATGTGAGGTAACACACAGGCAACCATGCCAGGTACAGTTCCTATGAATGCATCCAGCGAGCGCACAAGGGCAACTTCCATGGGGCGGATGTGTCCACGTGTGTAAATAAGCTGCCGGAGTGGCTTCGTATCCAAAACAAATGACTGTGACCCTGTTTCGTGGCACACTTGCCCTGCTCTGTGTACTCAGCCCTGGCTCCCACACAATGGGGGCATGAGTGCCCAGGAAAGGACGCCCTGCACACGCCTGGCCTCCTGCACTGTGGGAGCTGCACCCGGCTGCCCGGCTGAGAGCATCTGATTAGGAACTGCCGAGTAACTGCCTTTAACTCTGGAGCCTAAACGGAGCAGGGAATCGGATGGCGGCGTATTCTCCCCCCACTCCCTTCCACCCACTCGGCCAGCCTGCTCAGCCCAGCGGCGGGCAGCCCCAGGCAAGCGGGACAGCTTCAGGAGCAGTGCCTCAGCTTCCTGGGGGAAGAGGGCGGGAGGTGGAGGGGCTGCGGGACAGCAAAGGGAGAGGTCTGGGGCATCTACCCATGCCCCCAATTTGTCACAGCCCTGTCACCCAAATCACTGTTCCCCAGAACTCAGGGGACTCCTTCCTCTCCTTTTCCTCTCTAGCTCCCAAGTCTTTGAAGAGACCACCATCCCAAATCCAACTGTTTCCAATCTAAGCTTTCCGAAACTTCTCTGATTCTCCACTACTTTGTGTATAAGCAAGTAAATGAAACCTGCCCTCCCCATTTCAAGACCTCCCTCTAAGTTATCAGACAGGGCCCTAGTCTCATCCCCCTCTTCTTTTTTTCCCTCCTCCAGCCTCATTTCTCCCTTTCTTTCCAAACCTGCTCCACATTACTCTATCCCAGGAAGTCCTCCTAGATTGGTCCCTTAGCCTCTTGGACAAACACAGCTTGTCCCATCCTTCAGCCCTGCTGTCACAGTCCTATCCATAGGATTTCCCACGCCAAGCTATCAGGGTCCGCACCCATGGGGTAGAGGGCAGCTAGGGGTGGGGTGTTTGCCCTAACTCTTCCACCAGAACGAGAACCTCTGCTGAAGGCCAAGGGCCAAATCTCTTTCCTCTGAATTTCCCTGTACATTTGACATCTGCATTGGTTGCTGCACAAAAGGGACCAAGAGGAGGGGGCCGGGCCAGGAGTGGACTGGTGGCCAGCATATGATTTAACGCACAGAGGGAGCCTCTTTGGGTTAAGTGTGCAAATCTAGCTCTTTGGGTCTGCAGGGGATCGGGAATTTAGAAACAGGGCTCCTCCCCCACACTCTGTGAGCAGCTCCCCAACTCTGCTGACCTGACAGTCCATCCATGTCTCCTAAAGAAGCAAAGGATAGGCTCACCCAGATTTCCAGGGGAGGGGGCGGGTCAGGTGAGCAGCCAGCATTATTAATTCAGGCATTGTCCTCATTATTATTCAAATTTATTCATATCATTGCGCATTTCTCCTGCGTAGCTTCATGCTGCAAACTCTCCACACTCATGTTTCTCCTTCCCACAGCCCCCAGGGTCCAAGTCGAGGGCTTGGGAGTGGGGTGGCTTGTGAGCCCTGGCCCAGAGATGGAATTTCTATTCACAGCTTTCCTGCATGGGGCCCGGACACCCTGGTTTCCTAGTAAAGTCTCCAGAGGACAGTGAGAAGCCGGCTCCTTGTCCACTGAAGCAAGGAGGCAGCTGGCCCTGCAGCCGGACAGTCAGTGGGAACCCTTGGGGTCAGGGTCAGAGATGGAGATCTTGCCAGAGGGCAGAGTGGTGTGACCTCAGCCTGTCACTCCTGTCTGGCCTGCCTTTGCTCACCTATACAATGACAAGTCGGGACTAAGAACCGCAAAGGTCCCTTTAAGAGCACAAGTTGAGGAGACAGACAGGTTTGTACAGTGCCTCTGCCACTTCCTAACCGTGTGACCTTGGCCAAGTCACTTACTCTCTAAGCCTCATTTCCCTTATTGGTAAACAGGGATGCAAACGCTTACCTCCCAGAGTGCTGTGGAAAGTGAATGGTATGAGGCTTATGACATGCCAGGTATGTTCCCTTGCATGTGCCCTCTAAATGGTAGTGATGACCCTTATTTTTCCTGGGCAGTTTGGTAAGTAGAAGAACTGCCAAAATCTTGAATAGTGACATGACAAAGAAGGTATCTGTCCCCCTGGGGATTTTGAAGTAAAATACCCTTTTTGTTTGGGCCTGATTGAAGCAATTTAGTCTAGAGACAGGAGATACAGAAGCAATGATCCTGAAGAGAGAGTCTAGGAAGGAAGAAAAATGAAGGATCTAAGGAATTTAATTCAATGGAAAGGCAGCCTAGATCCTGGGCCTGCAAATGTCATAGGCAATTTTTCCTGGCCCCTAAACAGCGCTTGCAGCAAAGACGTATCTGAGACAGAGTCCAGATGCCATAGGTAGTCCCGACTTGGTTCATGATTAGGAGAAAGCCCCAAGCCTGCCATTACCAAGGCCAACTCTCTCTACTCTGCACACTCCATGTTTTCATCACCCTTCATGCTCTTGGTCAGGCCTTTCCCCACGTGGCACACTGCTCTCTCCCCCTCCTTTGGGATTCAAATAGTTACCTCCTTTGTGAAGTCTTCCATGACTGGCCTGCATGTCTCAGAGCCCTTTGCACTCACCTCTCACCTCAGCTATAGAAGGTCCACACTGCACTGCTCACCCCATCCCTGCTGGAGGAACCTGCACTATGTCCCTCAGAGCCCCAGCCTTATCCCGTAGCACAGGGCCTGGCCACCAGTCACACAGCAGGTGCTGTGAGTGAGTCCATTGAGTGACAGATTGAGAGTGAGCCGATGCCTGAGGAAACAGCCCTACCTTATGAAACAAGGGGAGAAGCCTGCCCCAGGTCAGGCTGACACTCCAGGAGAGACAGAGACAGGGCAGGAGAGTGGAGGGACAGGACAGGGTTCTCCCTGCAGTGAGAGGAGAAACTGCTGGGGCAGGCTTCAAGTCCTGGGAGGCTCCCTGAAAGAGGGAGTAGAGTTGGGCCAGGTGGAAGAAACAGAATTCTGGAAGCTCCTGATGCAATGACGGAGGTGGTCGTGAAAAAATAGTGAGGAAAAAGCCTAGAAAGTGAGCCATGAGGTGCAGGCATCGGAAAAGACACAAAAAGAAGAGCAGAGATGTCCGGGTGGCATTCCAACAAAAAAGGAGGTACTGGGTGTGTCTTTGAGTGTCAAGAAGGAACCAAGAACCAGTAACAGTGTGGTCTGCCAAGGATACACACACATCCAACATCACACATCTGACCCTCCACCATCCTTGACACAGAGCAGGGCCTGCGTGGGAACTATGGGGCAAAGTTTCAGCTCCATCCCTCTGCCCTTACCCCACTTCCAGAAAATAAAACCAGGGCAAACAGAGATGCAGAGAAATACCTGGCTGTGGCATGGGGATACGGGGCCTGGGAGCCAGCTGGGAGGGGAACCAGGAAGGGCTGACCACAGACAGAACAGGAAAGCACGTCAAATAAATGGCCTTGCCTGCCGGGCAGCTCCAGTGTAGGCCAGGGTGAATCTGCGTGTGTTTTTAAAATAATTCCCACCTGCTTTGGTACCACTCCCTCCTTGTCTTTAGACACCATCCCAGGTGTGGTGAGCTCCTAGGCAGCCCCTGTGAGGAGGCAGAGCAAACCTGCTGCACACAGGTGCAGGGGCACCCACACCTATACAGCCGGGGGGGCCAAAGAAGTCCCGACAAAGGCAGGCGGAGGGAGAGCGGGAGAGCGAAGGAGAGCGACGAAACTAAAGAAAAGGCAAGAAAGGAAGAGGAAAGGAAAAGAAGATCCAGTGAGAAAAGCACCAGGAAAGGCCCCATCGTGGAGTCTCCAAGAGCCAGGAAAGAGCCACATGTGGGGCGCGCACAGACACACACACACACACACCTCTTCTGCACCTTTGCATTCAAGTACATGTTTCTGTACCCCACAGGCATCTGTCTGCACCCACGTCTTGGTACATATGCCCTGGCAGTCATGCTCCCAGAGCCCTGCTTGGCAGGTTTGCCAGGAACCCGAGAGGGAGTGGGGCCAAGCACATGAGAAGCCAAGGAAGCCAGACTGCAGGAGAGGGGGGAGGTGGAAGCCAGGCCCTGTCTCCCTGGATTTATCATGAGTAGTAATGAACCCCCTGGGCTGAAGCAGTCCTCACTCTCTCCACTCTAGATAGCTGCTGGTTCAAAGACAAGCCTGTGATTCACACTGACAGCTTTCAGATGGAACTAAATCTCTCCACACTCCACTCTTCCTCCCTTTCTTTGCTCTCCCC